ATGCGGACCCTCTATGCCAGAGACCAGTTTACCTTCAGTCCCTAGAGCTGCCAGTTGATTTTTCTGTTGTGAAATCTACCAAGTTCTAGTTCTCTTCTCAGAAGTCATAATAATCATATTGACTGGCATATCCACTGATTATATATCAGGTAAAATGCTATTTTGCTAACACCACCATAGGAATACTCAGTCTTTTGGTTTCCTGTAAATGGAAGTTTGTAGAAACCACTTAACTGCAAAATCTGATTCGAATGTTGCTATCTTTGAACTAGGTAAAAATGTTTTAAAGTAACATAAAAATGTTTTAAAGTTTCACACAGCCATTGGGTTATGTGAAATGTAAAATTAGAGCCAGGCCTTTTGCCTCGTGGAACCATGCTAGGAAAACTGTCCCTGGATTTTGCTGATGTGCTGTTTCTCATCCTCGCACTCACTGTAATACAAACAATAAGGTTTGTGGCAGTGCAGTGTGGTCCTCCCACCCTCTTCCACCCCGAGTCTGTCATTCATGTAGGAGAACAAACAGTAAAAAGAGCCAAAAACATTTCACTCCATTTTTTAAGTGTATTGTGTTATTCTGAGGATGTATGTTTGAGCCCTTGGGTGTATGAGGACAGCCTTTGAATTATTTGCCTGAGCATGTGGTTAAATCTCATGTTGGTTTTGTGTACATGTGTGTACATATGTGTGTGTGCGTGCATGTGGGTTGGTTATAGGTAGATTGCTCTGGAGCTGTGATATTCAAATTTATGCCCTCGGCTCTCAACAGCTGACTCCATGTTGTCTTAGCTGTTACTGAGTGTCTAGGAGGGTCTTTCTCTGTGCTTTATGGTCATGCATAGGATACGTGTGTGAGTTCATCTAAATGCAGTGGGCCAATTCAAGTTTTGTGAGACCCTGAAAAAGCCTGGTAGACACGTTGGTGCCTGACATGCGTAGTAAGAAATCCACAGTGGGATCCAGCTGCCTCAGACCAGACACGAGTCATGCCCATCAGCTTTGACAGTGTTCCTGCAGTGCCTCTAGAATTCCCTGATGGTATGGAAACCCAGTCTTTTTAAACTAACCTTGTATTTTAAATGCTTTCTTTCCCATTTCTTCTTTTTGACATTGGAGAGCACTGTCTGGGTAGGTAAGTCAGTTAGGTAGGTTTGCTGTGCTGAGTACAGTGCTCTGCATCAGAGAGTGGTGGTGTCACCAGCCTCAGGCTCTACATTGAG